CTTGCCACAGCGGGGCTTCAGCTTTTTGCCCTGGATCCCAGCGAGTTTAACGCTGGCCCTGCTTGGCAGACCCCCTGCAACCTGCTTGCAGCCCTCCCCGCCCCGCCCAAGAGTTGCAGACTCCAGGTTGGGAATTGCTGTTCTACAAGCAACTGCAGAGATTATGATACATTGTATCCATCAAGGATGATAGAACATTTGATGGAGTATACACCTCTACCCCGATATAACGCTGTCCTCGGGAGCCAAAAAATCTTACCGCGTTATAGGTGAAACCGCGTTATATTGAACTTGCTTTGATCTGCCGGAGTGCGCAGCCCCGCCCCCCCAGAGCACTGCTTTACTGCGTTATATCCGAATTCGTGTTATATCGGGTCACGTTATATAGGGGTAGAGGTGTACTTCACTGCTGTTAAAGAAAATGCATAAATACTTTCTCCTGTATCTGTTTATTTTTCCACCCATACAACAGTCCTGTTTAAAACTGCCAACAACCGTGTTTCCAGGTGAATTTAAAACAGGGGTTCTCAAACTGGGGGTTGTCACCCCTCAGGGGGTCGCGAGGTTATTAGATGGGAGGTTGCAAGCTGTCAGCCTCCACCCCAAACCCTGCTTTGCCTGCAGCATTTATAATGGTGTTAAATATATTAAAAAGTGTTTTTAATTTATTGGGGGAGGGGATCACACTCAGAGGCTTGCTATGTGAAAGGGGTCACCAGCACAAAAGTTTGAGAACCATTGATTTAAAACAACTTGCACGTCATTTGTGACACCAGTATCTCATCTAATCATCAGGTGGCTCTTTCCTACACTAGAGTAAAACAGCTTCCAGTCAAGACATCCTTAGAAATGTCTTAGTTCACGGATCATTGACAAGAGGAAGCGTTTACAGACATTAGTGTCAATATAGCTACCACACATGGGCCCTAAGTTTGCTTGTTAAAAATCCTGCACTAGCTAGGCTAATCAGGTCACAAGGGATATCAATCTTCATTCTTTGGCGCATAAGCTGAACTGATCCCTAACTTGGGTCAGGAAAGAATTTTTCTCCTCTGTGGCATACAGTTCACCACTCATCAAGTACATCTAGTATAAAAGGCTTTAGCCTTCTCTGGAGGAGCATCATTATATTGGCTATTACCAGGGGACAAGTGTAGGCAAAGCTGGTAGTACTATCTTTTAAGATTGCCCATTATGAGATCCGTTTTTTAGCTGCTTATAACTTGCCAAACTTTAATCATTTGGGATGAAATTCTATATGCTGGGTGTTCGGCTCAGACTGGTTTTTTTAAATTTCAACCAAAACAATTCAGCCATATCAGAGAACAAGGTTAGGGAAAAATGTATTTTACCCATGTTAAAAAATTCTAATGACCTTTTCTTTGAACAGTTCTAGTACCCCCAAGCTTTGCAGCAGAGACTTGAAATTGGGTAGGGAGTTGGCCTCTTAGAGCTTCCAGTGCAGAATTGGAGTCAGAACTGGCTTCGAGCCCTTAGAAGTTCCAGTCTTCAGGCATATCCAGTTCCGTTTCCCAGAGAGGGTCTGAGAAACCCAAAGGTAGCTTTGGACGCCACACCAAATCCACTTTCCTTGGTGTCGAGAGATGGAGAAAAGAGGAATACATGGCACCATTGCTCCATGCAGTCCTGTTCCTGAGGATCAGGCAGGCGGTTGGCACTGAAGATTAAGGTGGAATTATCTGGTGCTAAGGTAGGAGGTTCTTGTTATCAGAAGCCCATCTCCTTGCTTCTAAGGATTAGGTCCATCTTATCTAGTTCTGATGGAAAGATTGTCTATTCTCCCCAGTTTCAGTCCCAGGGAGGCTACAGTTTTCATTTCAGGCTCCATTATCTGTTTTGCTGAACATAAATCCACAATGCTCCACTTGTTAGGGTGATGTTAAGGATTCCCTTGGAATTGAGGATTTGGAGCTGAAGTTTCCTTATTGTTACTTTGGTGCCAATGGAATAGAATGAGAAGTTCATTCTAGGGTCATTTAGTTCCTTTTGCCTCAAACTAGACCTTTCTTGGTTTCACCGTTGGCACAGAGTACTTCAGTGCATCCCTCTCAGTTGAGGTTTCGAACCCCACCTTCTGCACAAGGGCCATTTTGCACGTTTATCTGCCATGAGCCAACTGGCCTTCCTGGACATCACAGTCTTGGAGGATAGGAATGGCAGTCACTTTTTAATCTCCCCCTTGGTATACCAACCTGCCAAACCCCTGTACTACCTCCTTCACTGAGATTCGATTCAGATTCCACAGCTGAGGAAGAGAGTGTAGGCCATACTCCATGGAACTCATTTTTCTCCAGAGGATGTTATGATAGACATCATCAGTATTATGGAAGATGTAAAATCTTCCAAAACTTGCTCATCAGGAGCATGGATGCATTGGTCTTTGAGCTATCTACTGTTCAAGAAAAGTCTCACAAATTGTTGGATATTCTGGAAATGAGTCAGTCAGACAGAGGGGTTGTATTAATAATGGCCTCATGGATACTACCAAAAATTTCTGGATGGCACCAGCATCCATCTCACCAAGTTCTCAGAAACTTTTCAGAGGGCTCCAATCTTTGGGTCCACCCCAGTGATGTAGATCTTTTTTCACAATCTTTTTGAAGACATCCAACGGCAGGGGAGTAACCTTGTTTTATGATTCAAGTAAAAGCAACATTCCTGGGACAAAGTGTGTCCAAGCTTTCAACACCACTGTCCATGTCATGTCCTATGATTTCAGAGAAGCCTTGTGTTTCTATTGCTGTCATTTCATGAGCATTGAAATTAATATTTGAAGAAAACCCAAAAAAGCCGACAAACATTTGCCTCGTCAGACCTTGTTAGGTACACTACACAAATTAAAAGAAATTGGATAGTATACAGAAGTACATTTGTCTTTATAGTGCATGGAGTGTAACTGAGCTCTTTAGACATAGTGTAGCTGGGAACTACTGGGTACGAGATATCTTCAGGGCAACTGCTACTAAGGAGAAAATATTTTTAAAAGAGAGGAAGGATAGTCTTGTGGTTAAGGCGCATTCAAATAGGAGTTGAGCGCTGTGGTCAATTCTTGACTCTGTCTCTGTTCCCAAACTTCTGCTTACATGGCCTTTCCCTTTCTCCTGTCCTTTCCCCGTCTTGTATATTTAAAATGTAACCTGGTTAAGATGAGGTCTTTCAAAAGTTCCTAACCGAGTGGGCTCTTAATGTTGATTGGATCTCCTAATCACTCATGTAATACAAATAATATAATAAATGTAAAGCCTCAGGTGATATGTGATTCATGGGTGGCTGGTTGCTAATATATGTTGTGGTGTTATATAAATTAAAGCCTGATTCTGTACACGAACACTTAGTTTGCAGTGAAATGGGGCGTAAATGTATCCTGCACTAGCCTGCTGTCCGGGTTCCCACCCCACTCTGAACTCTGGGGTACAGATGTGGTGACCTGCATGAAAGACCCCCTAAGCTTATTTTTACAAGCTTAGGTTAAAACTTCCCCAAAGCACAAATCCTTTTCTTGTTCTTGGATGGTATTGCTGCCACTACCAAGTGATTTAGACCAAAATCCAGGAAAAAGGGCCACATGGAGTCCCTGTTTCCCCAAAATATTCCCCCCAAGCCCCTTCACTCCCTTTCCTGGGGAGGCTTGAGAATAATATACTAACCAATAATATACTAACCTTGCCTTTACTTACAATTTCTGTAATTTTAGATGTATCATTTCAGGTATCTTTTCAGGAGATGGTTTACCTGCTTGGTCTCGCTCTCTGTCCAGAGAGAGAACAAACAAAGAGAGCACAAACAACACCTCTCTTCTTCCCCCCCCCCCTTGATTTGAAAGTATCTTCTTTCCTTATTGGTCCTTTTGGTCAGGTGCCAACCAGGTTATTTGAGCTTCTTAATCCCTTACAAGTAAAGTGATTCTGTACCGCTGGCCAGGAAGGATTTTGTTACTGCCTACATAAAGGTTGTTACCCTTCCCTTTATATTCATGACACCTGCCATGAACCAAGCGTCTATGATGTTTACCCTGCTGCCATGCACTAAAAGTTCCCTAGTGCGCTTTGACTCACTTTGGAACTGGAATAGATTAAAGCACATTAGTGAACTGTTAGTGTAAGGCAGCATGGTCCACACAGGCACTTACCCTGCACTAACCTGCCGTGCACTATGTTTACACCCTAGCTTGCTGTAAACCAGGGGTCTCAAACACGTGGCCCTGGAGTTATTTCCTGCGGCTGCCAAGCTCCCCTCCCCCCGCTGCCCCCGCTCCCTCCCCCCAGTGCGCCGTGTCCCCGCTCCTCTGCCTACCTCCAGGTGCTTCCTACTGCCGAACAGCTGTTTGGCGGCGCTTAGCACTTTCCAGGAGGGAGGGGGAGGAGCGGGGAGCCACGCGCTCAGGGGAGGAGGCGGAGAAGAGGCAGGGCAGGTGTGGGAATTTGGGGAAGGGGTTGGAATAGGGGCAGGGAGGGGGTAGAGTTGGGGTGGGGACATTGGGGAAGGGGTTGGAATGGGGGCAGGGAAGGGGTGGGGTAAGGGCAGGGCCTCATGGAAGGGGTGGAGTGGGGGCAGGGCCAGGGGCAGCCGAGGGGGACATGGGACTTTTGTACCTTTATATGAAAAGGTGTCAGTGATGCGGCCCTTGGGCCAATGTACTAGTCCTCATGTGGCCCTCGTGGTGATCTGAGTTTGAGATCCCTGCTGTAAACTGAATATTGACAACAAGAGGGCTCAGCATGGGTGCTGCAGTCCACTTGCATGTAATGATTTAACAGGCTCAGGGTAGAGGAAAAATACATATGCTTTACCAGTCATTGTGGTTTATTGTCAATAATCAGCATAATAAGGAGGTACTATAATAATCTGTACATCTAAATGGTAACGTGGATGTAAAGCAGCCATACAAGGAACAGCAAAACAAAAACTACCTAATGATTTTCTGAATCATTATATGGCCTGTACAAGTTTTCGTCTTATGATTAAATGTTATGTTTTAGGTTTGTGAGAGACGATGAATTTGGCTGAGATTTGTGATAATGCCAAAAAAGGGAGAGAATACGCGCTTCTTGGGAACTACGACTCCTCTATGGTATATTACCAAGGTGTCATCCAGCAGATTCAGAGACACTGTCAATCAATCCGAGACCCAGCAGTTAAGGGCAAATGGCAACAGGTATGATGAAGCAGTATTGCACTGTATGTGGTAGATTTGGAAAGAAATACAACATTGCACAAGCTTTTTAAAATGTAGCCCAAATATATATTGGCTAAATTGAAGTTCATGATATTTATGTGGCAGTATTTCTTGTGACATAGTTAGAAGGGATTCTTTAGTTCTAATTGAATCAATTTTCTTGTCTTCATAGTGTGTCTTGCTAATCAACGGACTAATTGTGTGTGACTGCCTATTTTGGAAATACTATTATGTTTTCTACTAATACTATAATGATTTCCTTTTGCTCTCTCATCTTTCATCCAACTAATAAGCAGTAAGCTATGATGTGAGATGGGCTTGTATCATTAAAAAGATCAATATAGTTGCAATTATCTAAAATGTTATCTGCAGATAGTACTCTTAGGCCCTGATCTCACAATCACTTGGGCATGTGCTCAACTTTATTTGCATGAGGAGTATTTGTGGTTCGATTTCTAGGAGCGATGGAAAGAGTGAGAATGAATCTGTAGTGTTAATGAGAGATAAATTGCTCCCAAGCTACTGATCTGTGTTAGTGCAGAGGTGGAGGAAGCAGACTGGCATAGCTATAGATAAGCAGCAGACAGTGTGCTGCATCACTTAATGCTATAAGCAGGTGTCATCTGAGATTCCAAGGCAGATAGATCCCACCGCAAGGAAAACATACAAAATGCCGAAATGCATAAATCATGGATTCAATACTTAAACACAATATTAACAACAGATGTGAAATCTTTGAGGGATAATGTCACAGTTTTTAGGCCAAAACATTTGATTTAGCTCAATATTGTAACAATATTAGCATTGGATCTTGGAGTCCATTAACTTGCATGAACTCACATATGTCAGTCTGGGTTTCGATAAATTCTTACAGCATAAATCTCTTGGATTCCAAATATCACTTTGAAAAAAAAACAGGCTATATGCGGCGGTGGGAAGGGATGAGCAGAAAAACTGCCTATTTTTGTGGAATCTAGCAAAATCAATGGGACAAATTCTGTCCTTGGATCTGGGCATGCTGGTATCATGACTTTAGTAGGAGCCCCCTGCAGGCAACCAAGGATAGAGCTTGGTCCAGTGTTGTTTGCTGTGTAGACTTTAAACAAACACATATAATTAGATTGATACTGATGTCAGACACATTTTGGCAAAATAAGGCACTATATAAATTAAAGTTGTTGTAGACAAAATGTTCTGTGTTAACTTCAGCTCCATTCAAAACGCGCACACAAAAAATCTGTTTATCAAGGCAAAATGGACAAAGTAAAGGGACAATACAGGTTTATGTTTGTACGTGATACTACTGTAAACAGGCACAATTTAAAATAATTACCTGAGATTATCTCCTTAGTTAAATAAAAAAAAAACGTGCACAAGACATATTGCATCCCATTCAAATGAAGTTTTATACAATAAGAATTTGTATAAGATATGTATACAAAGTGTATTCATAGTATACACTTTGTACACACATCCTCCAAAGATTAATTTGTTGATGTTGGAAAACACTTTTTGTATAACGGAGGGAATTCAGGACGAAGGCAGAAGACAAGCTGATCAGTTTTCAAAATGATCTAAAAGGTCCAATCCTTCCATCACTGAAATAAATAGGAATTTTGCCATTGACTTTAATGTGGCCAGAATAAGTCATTAAAGCTCAAGTGCTTAGGTAAGTGCTTAACTTTCAGACCAGGACTACTCCCACTGACTTCAACAGTATTCGCCCAGTATCCTGTCTACTGACAGTGACCAATGCCAGGTGTCCCAGAGGGAGTGAACCTAACAGGTAATGATCAAATGATCTTTCTCCTGCCATCCATCTCCACCCTCTGACAACAGAGGCTAAGGACACCATTCCTTACCCATCCTGGCTAATAGCCATTAATGGACTTAATCTCCATGAATTTATCTAGTTCTCTTTTAAACGCTGTTATAGTCCTAGCCTTCACAACCTCCTCAGGCAAGGAGTCCATGCAGAGTCCACCGGTTGACTGTGCGCTGTGTGAAGAAGAACCCTCTTTAATTTGTTTTAAACCTGCTGCCCATTAATTTCATTTGGTGGCCACTAGTTCTTATATTATGGGAACAAGTAAATAACTTTTTTCCTTATTCACTTTCTCCACACCACTCATGATTTTATATACCTCTATCATATCCCCCCTTAGTCTCCTCTTTTCCAAGCTGAAAAGTCCTATCCTCTTTAATCTCTCCTCATATGGGACCCATTTCAAACCCCTAATCATTTTAGTTGCCTTTCTCTGAACCTTTTTTAATGCCAGTATATCTTTTTTGAGATGAGGAGACCACATCTGTACTCAGTATTCAAGATGTGGGTGAATCATGGATTCATATAAGGTCAATAAGATATTCTCCGTCTTATTCTCTATCCCTTTTTGAATGATTCCTAACATCCTGTTTGCTTTTTTGACTGCTGCTGCACACTGCATGGACGTTTTCAGAGAACTATCCATGATGACTCCAAGATCTCTTTCCTGATTAGTTGTAGTTAAATTAGCCCCCATCATATTGTATGTAAACTAAATATCATACTATTCATAGGTCTTTGCATTGGGGCTATGAAAGGTCTTGGCACTTACTAAGGTTTGTCAAACTGCCACATTAACTTGACATTTCTAATACTTGGATTTCATTGAAAAATTAATTTAGTGCATTAAAGAAAAGGATCTCCTTGATTTCAGTGGGAGTTGGATCAGGCCATGAGTCAACAGATAGTAGATTAACAAGTATGAGATACATTTTAAGGAATTATCTATTTGAATGGTGCTAGTTATCTACTATATTCTCTGACCAGTAGAAAATGGAAGTTTCAAACATACAATGCAAGTGTATAACTTCAAAGTCAGACTTCCGTTATAAAAGTAAGAAAACGTGAAGTAATATCTTTTATTGGACCAACTTCTGTTGGTGAAAGACATAGGCACCGACTCCGTGGGTGCTCTGGGGCTGGAGCACCCTCAGGAAAAAAAATGGTGGGTGCTTAGCACCCACTGGCAGCCCCCCTATCAACGGTTCTTCCCCCCTCCCCCCAGCGCCTTCTGCCCGCCGGTGGGTACCGCCGATCAGCGCCTTCCCCTCCCTCCCAGCGCCTACCGCCTGCTGTGCATCAGCTGTTTCGCAGCATCAGGAGGTGCTGGGGGTGAGGGTAGGAGCAAAGGCGCAGTGTGCTCGGGGTGAGGGGGCAGAACTGGGCGGGGAAGGGGTGAGAAGAGGCAGGGTGGGAACAAGCAGGGCGGGGATGGGGCACTGGGAGAAGGGGTAGAGTAGGAGCAGAGCCGGGGGGAGCACCTCCCGGCAGATTAGAAACTGGGTGCTTATGGTGAAAGAGACAAGCTTTTGACCTCCACAGAGCTCTTCTTCATGTCAACTTGTCTGTTTCACCAACAGAAGTTGGTCCAATAAAAGTTATTGCCTCACTCGCCTTGATTCTCTCATATCCTGGGGCCAACATAGCTACAATAACACTGAAAACAAATTATAAAAGTAAGTCCTGTTCCCAGTTTCTTCTGTTGCTTTAGTTGTCTTCTTAACCTAGGCTACCTTTATTTCCCTCTCTCATGTCTGTGTTACTGAAAACATTTCCTGATGCTTTGAATGTATTGTGACGGTTCACCTGTACAAGTGAACATCTTTGTCAAGTTTTGAACAATATCAGGGCTTGGATCTTGCAGCCCATGCTCTCAAGGTTCCATTGAAGTGTAATAGGAGTAGTCACATATCTAAGAGCTGCTGGATTGGGCCGTTAGTTCTTCGTAAATGTTAATTTATTCTATTGTAGTAAACATTTTCTAAACCTTTTATTCTGTTGTAAATTGAGATTGTATATATTAAAAAAAAGACCTGTGCAAAAATTAAAACACTTTTTTTTTTTTTCTGAAATCACTTGTTTATTTTGAAGGTCCGGCAAGAATTACTGGAGGAATATGAGCAAGTAAAGAGTATTGTCAACACGTTAGAGAGTTTTAAAATAGACAAACCTCCAGATATTCCTGTATCCTATCAAGATGAGCCATTTAGGGATCCTGCTGTTTGGCCACCTCCAGTTCCGGCTGAGCACAGGTAACTGGAAAGCACTTTGGGATAGTTCACACCTTAACTCCACCCTTGAACATTAATATCTCTTACCAGTGGACAAATTGATTTTTCAAGAGTCTGTTGCTACCTAAAAAGAATTCTGCAGTTCAATTGTAGGGGTGATTTTTGAGGAATTGGATGTGTTTGTACAGTGGAAGAGGAAGTGAGTTTGGGTATTATGGTGTGGTAAGGCCTATGTATGGAGGTTGGGCAGGATATTAATATTTCCATAACTGATTTTCTTGACTTTTGATGATTGTCCTGCTAAGAAATTCACTTGAACAACTTTAACGCTAACAAAATTCTTTGTTTATTATAAATGCCTTGGAATAATAAAAATTACAGATAGAAAAGACCTATTAAATCAGCCACTCCAGATCCCTGATATTGTAGGATGGGTTATTCGTGAACAGTGACTGTTTTTGAGGTCAGTAGTGGTTCAGGTATGGCCTAAGATACATAATATGTTGCCTGAAGCCAATTGCTTTAGTACTGAAGGAAATCTGCAGACAAGGTGATGCTTTACAGAGCTAGGGCCTGATTCAAAGCCCACTGTAGTCCATGGAAATACTCCCATTGAATTCAGTGGACTTTATAACAGTAGGGTTACCATATGTCTGGATTTTCCCGGACATGTCTGGCTTTTTGGTCCTCAAATCCCCGTCCGGGAGGAATTTCCAAAAAGCCGAACATGTCCGGGAAAATAGGGAGGCATGGTAAGGGGACCGCCTCCTCCCCGGGCTCCAACTTCCCCGGCTCCCGCCGCTCTCCACCACGCGCCGGGGCCGAAGCAACTTCCCCTGCGCAGCAGCAGCCGGAGCCCGGGGGGCGGGAGGGAGGAGGGGGGAATGCGGGGTGCTCAGGGGAGGGGGCGGAGTTGGGGCAGGGACTTTGGAGAAGGGGGAGAGTTGGGGCGGGACTGGGGGCGGGGAAGGGCCGGAGTTGGGGTGGGGCTGGGGATGGGGAAGGGGCGGAGTTGGGGCGGGGCCAGGGCCCCGTGGAGTGTCCCCTTTTTTCAGTATTGAAATATGGTAACCCTATATAACAGGCCCCTAATGTAGGTCTCTAGTCTAACTTTTTACTACATAAAAGTGTTACACATTGTAGTTAAGGGGTTCTCTGAAAATAGCTGAGTTGCCCATTTTATTGTTTGAAAGAGTGGTCAGTTGTCTGATTTATTTATTTATTTATTAAAAACTATTTTCGTGAAGTCCTAAAGACTTTCTTATCAGGTCATAGGAGGCTTTTTTTTGCCAGTTGGAATTGAGGGATACAATAGAAAAAGGTAAAGCATCTATATTAGTTTTAGGTTACTAAAATACCTGTCATCTGGAAGGATCCTGCTCAGCAGAACTGGAATACAGGCACCTGTGGGATGGACGACAGCAATCCGTGGGAGGTGGAAGGGGGTGGCCTGCTCTTGGGATATTTATCATCTTGCAAGATATCACTGAATGATGTAGAGCTAAGTTAGCAAAATTGGGAATTTGGTAGTAATTGGAAGCAGTTACTAACCAAAATCTATTTTGTAGCCTATATGAAATGTGTTTGGTTTTCTTAGTGCATTACCTAGTGGACAGGGGCCTGATTCTTCATGACTTTGTACCATGTGTAGTCATTTACCCCCTGTTCAAAGTGGGTGTAAAACATTACCATAGCTTGCTGCTTCAGTTTCCCCCATCTCTACCCCATTACACTATTGTGAGTGTCAAGCTACTCAGTGACTCCAGAGCATGAGTACCAACCTCAGGACAGACTATTAAGAACCAGGGCACAAGCCACAAATTGATTGTGAATTTTATACTTAGATTTCACCTACCAGTTATCAAGTGTAAACTCCTTAGGCATTATAACAGCCAAATAAGGAGTCATAGACAGTCCCCTTGGGTACGCCATTCTATCTTGTCCCCAGGTGAACATACCTTTGTGATAGATAGGCCCTTACACCAAGAATCACAACAATATTCAGGTTATTCCCAGTCTCAAAGGGCTAGTCACTTACCCAAGGTCAGTTGTACTTTAGATGTCATGCCAGAGACAATGCTTGTAACCAGTCCTATAATAAATTATATACAGATTTATTAAAATATGAAAGGAAATAAGAGTTACATACAAGGTTAAAGCAAGTAAACAGATACACACAGATGAGTTACAATCTTAAATTTCAAAAGGTAATAGAAGCTTCTATAGTAAACAAGCGCTATATGTTTTATAGGGCTAATCCAGGCTAAGCAGCTGTGGGGACCTCTTACCTATGCCTAGGAAACCTGGCCCTCTAGAGTCCAAGCAGCATAAATCTCCAGTTCCTTCTTATTACGAGTTTTTATCTCCCTCATCCCTTGTTCTCTGAGCTGCAAACTCAGCTGATGGGAGGAATCCACTTGCATGACTCATCTTCATGTGAGGAAGGCAAAACAAATACATTTATTTTGTCCTCTTTAATGTCCCACAATAGTCCATCTGGTGTCAATGGACCTTCCGTGTTGGACAGGATGTAACACCTTCTGTGGGAGACCAGCATTTCACACTAGCTAATGTCTCTCTCTCCTATCTGGTGATTTACAGAGGCTTACAATACAACTTCTCAATTATTACCTTACAATATGGGATACAGATGTTATAAATGAGATTAATGCATGCAGCAGCTCACAAGCATTCAATAAAATCTAAACACATTCTTATAATTCTAATACCTATTTTAACAATACTAACAGCCAGACTGGCTCCAGCTGTGTATCTGTCAATGTTCAGTTGAGACATGGGGACCTTAGTACGAGCTGGCACCTGGTCTGCCAGTGTCACAGTGAGCTTTAAAGTTTGCAGGCGATTTTGGATGAAGGGCAGTATAAAGTGCAAAGTGGATTTATTTATTTATGTTGTTTATAGATTAAACTGTTTCTTGGCTTGGGTGTAGGGTCATAGATGGGAGAAGTGACCCATCCCAGCAGGTCAACCCCACTTGTAAAATAAATTAGTCTCATGCGGCTGCAGATGAGTAAAGAAAATTACTTTAAACGGTAACAGTAGCAGCAACTCTGTTTCTTTACGCATGATGAAAAATTATTTGAAGTAAATACTTAATAACCACATCCAGTTTGTGAAAATGTGTGTGTGAGACTTTTAAAAATTAATCTTTCAGGAAAGTAGTTGCAAGTTTTGAAACAATGGCAGCAAACATGAATAAAGGGATTTATTAGAGGGAACATTCGTTTAAATTGATTACATCTTGGCCATATATTTTGTTCTGTATTTCAAGTCTAAACTGACCTCCCAACCAAAATGAAATATGACCTCAGTTTAATCTTAAAACCAAATTCTGACCCCTCATACCACGGCTCAGTTTCCGTTAAGGTCAGTGGGAGGTATACAAAGGTGTATGAGTATGCAGTTTGGTTCTATCTAGTCCTAACTTTCTGGACAATTTGTAAGTGTTGACACTTTCACATGGGGCGATTAAGATTGAGAATGGGTCACTTTTTTCTCATTGTCTTGCTCTCTTAGCTATTGAGACCTGTCAAAGTTCTTAGCTGGCCTATTTCCCGGAATTTCTTCTACGACTGTTCTTATAGGATCTGTGCTTTTGAATATAGCATAATTTAGTCCCATGATTTATAGCTACAGGAAACTGAAACTCAGAGCCTGAAACTGAAATCTGATTTGTCTTTTCCACATGCATTTTGGTTGGTTATTGTAGGGTTGGTCACGAGTGCTGAGTTGTTAGTATTGATCTTCTTTTTTTTTTTTTAAACTGTGATTGATATATTTTCTTTGTTTGCCAGGGCTCCACCTCAGATAAAACGTCCCAACCGAGAAGTTAAACCTTTGAGGAAAGAATCACCAGGATTGCAGCCGCGAGGGCCTGTGGGCAGAGCACACCCAATATCAAAAAGTGAAAAGCCTGCCAGTAGCCGAGAGAGGGAATCTAGAGCTAAAGGGAGAGAGGACAAGGTAAAAACTGGGGGCGGAGGAGTTGGAGGGTTGTGTGTGCAGGGGGGAAGCATTTTTTTAAAATAAATAAGCAAAAACTTAAGTTTTCCTGTGCAAGGGCAACATGGAGGGTCTACATCAGATTGTGGACAAAGCACGTATTACGAAGTGATTCAGTTGTAATATCACCAAGCTGGATACTGCTTTAAACTCTCAGCACTGTTTTTAATCAGGAAGGTTTTTTTATAACAGCACAGTTTACTGTAGCTTTGTTTTTCTGCATGTTTCAGCAAGGTTATGGGCCTGATTCTGATCTCCTGTATAATAGTGTAAATCAGGAGTAAATTCTATTCAGTTTAAGAGATCAGAACTGGGCCCTATTATAAAGTTTTCCAAGTAAAGAATATAGAAGTGAGATCAGTGAGAGTCTTTAGATATGCAGTTTTATTAGGATTCTGCAGGATTTAAATTAAGATGAGTTAAAACAATTGAGATTGTTCTGTAAATTCTGCAGTGGTCTACAATTATTTACAATAGTATTTTTAAGTATGTTCTTAACTAGCAGGTGGAGATGTACCAAAAGCATACAGATTAAAAAGACAACCAAGCTTTTTTAAGAATCCCATCATTAGGAGATTATTATTATAAATAACAAGACATTTAGAGGAAAATGTTTCTTTGAAAAGCATTGGGCGGACGACACAGTGTTCTGAATTAAAATGGGCTGGGAATTGAAATTAGTTTTTGAAAAGGTTTGTTGTAAAAAGAGAAACAATACTAGAGTGAGAGAGAAGACAGTAGGAACTGATTCGCCAACATGTAACTATAGAAGACATTTCAAAAGGAATTCTTTTTGAGAAAGTAAGATGTGTGTGTGAAAAATTGGGTGTTTATAACTGAAACTGCCTTACAACCTTAACTGTGGAGTCACTATCAGGAATCCATAGAAGCCATGGTATAAATCAGTGATACACAGACCTCAGTGGTTCAGGAGTCAAATTAACCAAAAGAGCCACAGTAGTGTGAATTCATTGTTTTATTTACTACTGTTCATATTTAAACAGTATGACAGGGGAAATACTTAGTTTTTATATACATATATATTATTCTCAGAGCAAATAAGTTTAATAACTTAATTGGTTAACATAGTAAAAGCATCCTGATTGGTTAATAACTTAGAGGGGTTAATAATTAAATCACACAGCGTTTTAATATTATGTGCTGCAAAGAGCTGCAGGAGACACGTTAAAGAGCCACTTGTTGGCTCATGGGTCGCAGTCTGAGTATCACTGGTATAAACAGTACAAGACTGGAGCATAATGAGATGCCTTTACTTTTGTGAGATATGGAATCTTACCTATTTGGAGCTCGTGGTATAATACAGGTTGTGATTGGTGAGTTAGAAAATATTTTGGTAAGTTTTCATAGCTACACACTAAATACTCAAGAATGAGAAAGGACTTAAAGGGAAGAATCCAGCACTGTCAAGGGATAGACAAAAGTGACCTTTGTATCAGTTATTTTTGATTCTGTAGAAGAGGGTATTAAGCAACACTAGTCCTCCTTGTCACTGGTTGTTCGGACATAGTCTTCTAGCAGTGCCAGTGAATACACTTCTAAGTTTATTTGAAGTTTAAAGTTGAATCATTTTAGAAATCTCTCTCTACATACTTAGAACAGCAAGATTTACAATAACAAGGGAACACTCTGTAAGCTATAAAAAGCTTTTCAAGAACGGTGAAAATTGTTTACAGTTCTGCTGGTTAAATGAGAAACTGGAATCCTGTTGTGTGACCAGTTTAATACACCAGGCATGTATGCATTCAAGTCTTGCCTCTAATGAGGGTAAAACCATGCACTTTAAAGTTTCCTGTAAGGAGCATTATAAGGCTTTACTATGGATGAGGCTGTGCTGGTACTACTTCTAGGACAGTAGTTATCTCTTGGAGTAATACTACTAATAATCTACAGCAGGGAAGCCAGATGGAGAAGTTTCATAAATAGAAATATATTTCATATAGTACGTAACTTTTTAAAATTGCTTTTATCTGAATATTTTTTAAAAACCTTCTCATAGTTTACATTAATACCTAAAATAAGCAAGAACTTAGATTTCTCCTACCAGTTTTATCCTTGTCCGCTAACAAGCATTGATGTCATGTAGTGTTTGGAATGGAGCTGAAATTAGCATACTTCTTTTTGTCAACATGTCAGTTGACATGAGATCAGTTGCTGCTTATGTTCCATTTATTTTTAAATGTACTGGAGTAGGGCACATGATGATTAAAATTCTGTTGGCTGTTGAATAGACCTTGTTGCTATAAATCATGCTGCTCTACAGCATGCAGAGAGATTTCTAAAATGACGGAATGTTGTATTTTAAAGGGGATTCATTTGGTTGCCTGGCCAGATCTTGTTAGAAGTTGTAAAGATAAGATTCTCATCCAGTAAGATATTGGTGCAATGTGATTGGTTGTAGCTTGCAATGGGTATGCTAATGCTGATACATAGATATAAATGCTTCTTTTTCTGGATTTGTAGCCAAAACAACTATCTCATCTTATGGGTTTGTAACCATCCCCTTCCCAAGCCATGTAACAACCTCTTCAATCTGATTGTAAGCAGGGTCATGGAGTTTGTCCTTTATTTGCCTGTAAAGTAATTTTGCATGTTTATGGTGCTACATAATTAATAATTTCTACCCTGAGATCCCACTCTGATGGTGTTTATGCACTAGCACCCCTTTAAAATGCGGTTTCCCAAGTGGTTTTTTTTTCCCTTTCTTTCTCTACTGCCCAGAAAGCCTCCAGGCTGGTTGTCGTGGTCCCCCCCACTGGAATATTGTCAGGAATTTCAGCCTGTCAACCCAGCCGTTTTATTTTAAATAGGCAATGTGTGTATGTTACAAAGGTTGTATAATGCCCCATGTGTGCCCTAGGAGAATGTTTGGGAGTACTCTGAAAATTAGATTAGTGTCTTCTAATAGGGAAGCCACCAAAGCTATGCAGAGCAGTTCTACCAACCTAATGCTACAAAAGGAGATGCTGTTATGCCTGGAAAAGTATTCAGAACCACCCACGAATGTATAACTCAACCATTATTTGGGCAACTAATCCTTAAATCTGAGAGTAATTCCAATTACATTAATAATGGAGCTACTTGCAAGACTAGTGATTAATCACCCAAATAAGGGCTTCAGAATTGGGCTTATTTGTAACTACTATTAATCATTTTGTTGCACGTGAAAACTGTAAATATTTTAAATCTTACTTTAGTTCAGGTGTAGATCAGTAATACAATGCCCTGTTCTACAGCTTGAGTGTCAATTTGGCAGAGC